TTTCTAAAATAGACCAAAAAAAACTACCATAATAGTTAGAAAAAAAGAAAACAGAAACATTCATCCAATAACTCTTTACCTATACATGACAGGTTAAGGTTTGATACTTTGATTGTGTTCTCCTGAATAAGAGTTCATGCTATAATTCATATCTTATTCCTAAGGGGGGAAAAATGTAGTAACTGCTCTAACTATAAAAGTGAAGTTCAATTTTACACCTCCAAAACAAAAACCTGGTGAAGATCCTAAAAACACAAAGATGCAAACTTTTAACCAAAGAGCAAAGTATAATTAAAGCAATCACCTCTTCCATCTCTCTGAGAATGACATCTCGTTCCCTATCAATTCGATTCTCATCAAACTTGGAATTTTGAATGATATCAGCTAAAATATCCAAAGCTCTGTGGATATCCCTATCCAAGACCTTGGCATAGAAAGTGGTTTGCTCTCTAGAAGTGTATGCGTTGAGATGTCCCCCCATATTCTCGATCTCTTCCTCTAATTCCCTGGCAGTCCGTCTCTCGGTGCCCTTGAATATCATGTGCTCAAGGAAATGAGCCGTGCCATTCGTCTCCTCTGTTTCGAACCTAGAGCCGGAATCAATGAACACGCCGACGGAGGCAGTTCTGGCGGCGAGATTGGACTCGGTTGCGACTCTCAGACCGTTCGGCAGAGTGGTGACGCGGGTAACAGGGGCGGCAAGGATTGGAGTGTGGTCCATCAACACAGGGTGAGGGGAATTGTATTGGAGAAACCGCGAGTCGGGGTTCTCGAGACGATGGAGTTTGTTCTTGACAGACTCAGCCAGGCGGTCGTAGATCATGGCGGTTGGAGGTGGCGCCGAGGGCGACAGGGCTTCCGTTCCGGTGGCGGCAACCGCCACGGATGATGTGGAGAAATGGTTTCCTGATCGGGAAGGGGTGCCCTTCCGGGATCGGCGGGCTAGGTTCAGGAGCTGCCGGATCGCCATGGCTGGTGGATGCTCCCCTGGCTAGGGTTTGCTAGGCGGAGGATGAAGACGAAAGAACAGAAGACTAGACCAATCAATCAAACATTGTATCACAAGAAATCATTATAACGGCGTCGTATGGGTCTGGCTTTTTAGCACCAAATACGAAGAATTCCCTTGAGCCCTTAACTCCACGTTTGGCAAGGACAACAAAAATGGATTCTTGATATAAAAAATATTTTGTGTTTGATAAAGCTTAAAAATGCAAAAAAAATCGTGTTTTGTAGAAATAACTTACACATCTCTTAATTTTAAAACAGGATTAAATTTCACCATTGGTCTTTCAAGTTTTTGCGTCATGCATGATTAGTCCTTCAACTTTATAAAGTCCATGAATGGTCTTTCAAGTCATATTAGCGATGCGCGATTGGTCCTTCCATTAATTTTTCCGTTAGTCCATGCATTTTTTTTGATTTTCCATTATAAATATACGTGAGGAACCCTCTTTTATTCATACAATTGAACAATATTTAATATAAATCCATTTTTTTAATAATAAGAAGTTAATCTTATTTTTATTAGTCCATCGTTTTGATAATAATACGTCATTCTTGCTTTTATTAGTCCTTTTTTTAAAGATACGCACTTTGTTTTAAAGTATTTATCAAGTTTTGACTGTTTGCAGTCAATCATGGTTAATTTGTAATTTAATATTATTTCAATTACAACGGATCTACATAAAGTATAACTCAATTGTATGAAGAAGGGTGCGTTTCTCACGTGTATTTATAATGAAAAATGGAAAATTACATGGATTAACAGAAATAAACTTAACGGAAGGACCAATCGTGCAACGTTAATGTGACTTGAAGAACTATTCATGGCTTTATAAGGTTGAAAGACTAATTGTGCATGGCGCGGACCAACTATGAAATTTAGCCTTTAAAACAGACATCAAAGTATTTACATTTTGTTGTAAATGTTATGATGAGACTATATGTCTCCTATTTCATTAATGATCGTTAAAAAATATATTTTTCTCATTTTGTCTTTACTGTAGTCATATTAGTTGTAATTATGTTTTATATCGCATGACAAATCTTGATCTTTTACGAAAAGTAGTTACATAAGAAATTGAAAAACCTTTCTAAAAAACGATATAAAGTGAAAAAAAAGGAGAAGTAAAGAAACAAAAATGAAAAAGTAAAAAGTGAAAGTCATAAGCTTTGTAACATAACCCGTTGGATAAATCTATTTGTTCCCCAGGAGTTTGTACTCCATATATACACCGCATGTGTGTGCACAAACATTTTGTATTGGTATAATGCTAATTTTTATTAACGCACCAAAATTTTGTGTGAGTATAATTTTTTTAGCACACCAACACTTTGTGTAAATGTGAACCATCAAAATGTTGGTGTATACCTTTGGTGTAAGTCTGGAGTAGAAATTTTGGTGTAAGTGTAGCATGGTTCTAACCCGTTAAAAGCAAAATGAGAAACTCATATTCTCCTTAAAGATCATTAAAAATATAATAAATGAAATGTTCTACTAGTCTTTGAGGGCGATTGAGAGTGTGTTTGAAAATAGCGTTTGAGATTCTACTTCATTAAAACACAAATTTAAATGTTTTTCAATTAGCTTTAGATTATGAATTGTAACTTCAGAAGTATAAATCGTGTTCTAGAAGTGATTTTCACCAAAGCTTGGAGTAACTGCTTTCCACTCCTAATTTAGCACATGTTTTTTTTAAGACTCATCGCACCCGCAAACACTCTCTTTATAATAAAATATAAGAACCAGCATTTTCATAAATCACGTACGCGTCACACTAGTAATTTTCTACTTAAACATGATCTAGCTCCCGCATCTCTAGATATTATTACAATATTTTCAAATTTGATAAACTGAGAGTATCAATCTTGGATTTCATATGACCATCGGTCATCATCGCAAGCGATAATCCACACAGCGCACTACCCACTGCCACCAGCTGCCAACCCTTCAAAGTTAAAGTGTTTTGATATTCTCTCGTTTAGATATATGATGAATTTTGATTGAATTGATAGTCAAAATTAATTAAATTTGACTAAAAGACATCGAACAAAAATGAGTGCTTTAGAACAAAGACAATACTTCAAGAGTTAATTATTTAACAAAATTTTAGAATACACTATTGAAAAATACGTAGTATTTAGAAATCAAAATCAATTATCAACCTAACACTAAAATTTGCCGTACACCGCATTCATCGTCTTCTTCCTAATTGGAGCTCATAAATATACAAAATGTTAGTGCAATTTTTTTAATCGCAATAAGATTTTGTCCTATAGTGAATTATCAAAATGTTAGTATATACTCCATCTGTTTTCAAATATTTGTCCATTTTTAACTTTTTTCGATCAAAATTGGCAATTTTTGACCCTAAATTAAATAAAAATTGTATTAGATAGTGAAAATTGCACTAAACAAGATTAAAACATAAGTTATTTTCCAATATAGGATTTAAATTTTTTCATTTCCTAAATAGTATGGAGTACTTAATAATGTCTAATGGAAGGAATAATGGTGGTGGTGGACATTTAGTTGAATAATGAATAATGACCAATGGTCTTACATTAAAAAATAAAAACATATGGTCATATATTGAGAAAGTCATTATGTTTTAATCCTGTTTAAGTAAATTCTCCTATTAGATATTGATATAAAAATAGTTTTATTAGATTTATTATATAAAATATTTTCAAAATAATATTTTATCTAAGAATATGAATTTTATTTAATTATAGGTCAAATATTAAACATAATTAATTAAAAAAAATCAAAACTAGATAAATAGTCTGAAAGAGAGATAATATCTTTAGTATAACTTTATTCAAGTGGCGGTACATCCGGACCAAAAGCCCAATTCTTATTTCTGTGGTGGAACCAATGGGCCTTAATATACACCTGTATGGCTGTATATAAACGAAACCTGCTCGACTTCGAAGATCAGAATACTGAGAGCCCATCGCCTCCAACACTGCGCCGCGCGCTCCCTCTCTCTCAGAAACCCTAATCGGCGGCCATGGCGACAGCGAAAACTGTGAAAGACGTCTCTCCTCACGATTTCGTGAGGGCTTACTCTGCTCACCTAAAGCGTTCCGGAAAGGTACAAACTGCTCACCCTGTTTTGTTTATTTTCCGCTTGAGTTTCTAGTCTGGTAGTCCTATGAATTGACTTTGCGTTACATGAATTAATATGGATTGATTTTAGAGTTGTTCGTCGTTATTTTGCGCCATTCAATGAATGAGGAACTTTTAGAGCTTATTCGGAACTTTGTAGAGTAGAAATGGATTCCGCGATTTTGATCTGAGATTATGTGTTCCCATAGAACAATGGTTCTGAAATACCACATTCTTTAAAAATGATGTATGCTATTTCTTAGCTTGTAGAGTGGTAGGCCTGATGAAGAACTGTTGTTTCATTTTTACCAAGTAGCGTCTGATGTTTTTGAATTTTTGTGTGACGAAACATTCGTATATCCTTTCTGTTTCATCGCTTTACTGTATTTTGATTTATCAAGGAAGATTACGAGTTGAACCTGCCATTTCATCAATTTCTCAGCATCAAATTGCTACTTTGTTTATATATTTTTTAATAAAATGAATTCCCTTATAAATTGAATGTCATATATTTATATGTAGAATGGAAAAAGAATAACCCTTGGGTAGAATGATGTGTCTTTGTGCTTTTGAAACTCTTTGAGTTCATAATAATGGCATGTAACCCTATCATTGATAACCCATCATAGAAATTTTAAGACAGGTGTTTATTTTTTTATTTAATGCATTAACTGTTCAACAATTTGAGCCTGGTTGTCTTGGAAAGAGTCTCTACTTCCGAACAGTGGTAAGCTCTGCACACATACACCACCTAAATCTTACTTTTTGTGGGATTTTACTTGGTTTGTTGTAGTGTTTGATTGCATTGTCTGTTCTAATTAGTTTCAATATAACGATGGGTCTTAACAGTTCTGGTACAATTTGGTTGTGGATTGATTTCATTGTGTGCTGCAAAATGATGGTCTATGAAGTAAATGGCTTAAGGTTCATTGTGTGTGTGCGTGACAGTGTGTAAATTTGTCATGGCACTGTGTGGTTGGCTATGCATGACATTGTCATTTAATTTAGCCTATCTGTATCAAGGTTTTAAAAGGCAAAAACTAGCCTCAAGGCGGTAGAGGAAAATGCCTCAAGGCTTAAGCCTCGAGGCGGAACAAGGCGTAAGCCTCAGATCAACTTGTTAAAAAAATAACAAACAAAACAACTTTTAGGTAAACAAAATGCATAATCCATAATTATGTCAAATAAGTCATTAAGTAATACATAAGTTTTCATTTAAAGCCAAAAAGGGGGGCAAAATAAAAACGCAATAAGATAATCATGATTCAAGATAACCAAAACACTAAAAAAGTTGATGTAAAAACAACCTATATGTAAAAGATTAAATTTAAAGTAATTATAAATTATAATACTATAAACAATTCAACAATGAAAAATCTTAAAATTTAATAGGGAAAAATCTTAAAATTGGCTAACTTAAAATTATTCAAGTTGCTGGAATTTTGGAAAATAAAATTACCAGAGTAAAAAAAAGATAAAACAAATCTTCAAGAAATCATAAATTCGTCCCTTAAGAGAGAAACGAGAATAGGAAGCCAAATTGCACAGGGAAAGCCGTGACCAGAGAGAAACGACGGGAAGCCAGAGCGAAAGAGAGAGACGGCGAAAGAGAGAGAATCGGAAGCTGGACAGCCACGCAGGTGTGCGATTGGAAAATTGGAGCTTAAAGAGTTTTTATTTATTTATATTTAAGTAGTGCTTCCTGCCTAACTTTTTCAAAGAGGCCAATTATTTGAAGGCCCAATAACTTAAATTCAAAAGGGCAGAATATGGCTTATACGGACTATATTTCAAGGCGAATGCCTCGTTTCTGCCTCAGCGCCTTACCGCCTCGAACCGCCTCAATAAATCAAGGCGTACGCCTCGCGGAAATCATCTGGTGTGAACGCCTCTCTGGGGCAAAAAACTACCGCCTCAGCGCCTTACCGCCGCAGGGCGGACCGCCTTTTTCGCCTTTTAATTGCATGATTTGTATGCTCCATGGCTACGTGATAGTTCTTGTAGTTATTTCATACTCCAGTTGGCATGCATTTTATGGACTAGGTTGTTTTAATGAATAATGATCTTCCCTTGTTCCTGTAGATGGAACTTCCAGAGTGGACTGACATTGTCAAAACTGGGAAGTCGAAAGAGCTTCCTCCATATGACACTGACTGGTATTACACAAGAGCTGGTAATAGCTAACTCCAGAGTCATTTCCCAATGACAACATATAATGTATACGTGTATCTGAACACCAGTCTTGTTTTGCAGCATCTATGGCTAGGAAGATTTACCAGCGTGGTGGCCTCGGAGTTGGTGCCTTCCAGCGGATTTATGGGGGAAACAAGAGAAATGGAAGCCGCCCAAGTCATTTCTGCAAGAGCAGTGGATCTATTGCCCGTCACATTCTTCAACAGTTGGAGAAATTGAAAATCATTGAAAAGGACGCCAGAGGGTATGAACAAAAAGTTTTATTTAAAAAAAAATCAAATTCATGCCTTTTCTTTTTATATTGTTGGCTTCAAACTTCTTTCTCTAATTTGGGTTATTGTGTTTTTTTCTTTTCTTTTTCAGTGGAAGGAAGATAACATCGAAGGGGCAGCAAGACCTTGACCAGGTTGCCGGAAGGATTGCCATTGCAACAGCGTAATAATTTATTTATATCTGTGATGTTTGGTCAGTTCAAGTCATGTCACTTCCAAAGTTTTGAGACAATCTTCTTTTTGAATACATTGTAGAACTGTTATGTTTTGCTCACATTGTTTGTGTTGAAGTTCTTTGAACATTAATCTTATGAATCTCTATCATTTGACTTAGTTATCACTTTCCTCACATTGGATTCTTAGTTATTGTTTGAAATTTCTTTTCATGCTGGGCTCTTTAACCTGGAGGGAACACTTTCTTACTGCAAGTGATTTTACTTTGTGTGCAATGTTTAAGTGATTTACCTAGTGTTTAAATGTTGAGCAATGCTAGGGGTACACCAAAGGTGTACTCCAAATGTACACCAACCCCTTCTCCACCACCCATTTTTATTTTATTTATTTATTTATTTTTAAATTTCTTGCCTTTTTTGTGGACAAGGAGGGTGTGGGGGACGACTCTGGAACTCTGATTCTTTCTAAAGATCAACCTTAGAAGCTAGATTCATTTTTGAGCCTTTGATACCTTTTCAACCCTTCGATGCCTAACTAAGAATGATATTAAGATTTTTTTTTATTTGGACAGATTAACTTTCAGCCTTTTCTAATTCTTGTTTTTTTTCAATTCTTTCTAGTTTCTTTGAACTTTTAGGGGGTGTATTTAATCTGGATTTTTCTAGTATTTTTTTGGATTTCAAAAGTTTATGGGTATTCAATCTTGATTTTAAAAAGTCATTTAAAATCTGAAAGTATTCAATTTAGAATTTAATATATGCTTCTAAATATAATGGTATTCAAAAATTAATTGATTTTAAAAGATTTCTATAATCTATGGATTTTGATGGATTGGGCGCTTTGGGTATAAATTAAAATGGAAGTCCAAAATCTCACAAAAAATGTAAAGATTTTGCAAATCCACACAGGATGTCTCGATGAGCATTGTAGATCGCTAAGCTGCCATGGGAGCACTGCAGTTCGAGGATATAAAGATCTCCATTTTGAGCAGCTATTTTGATCTCCATAGTTGAATCGACGTGGAGCAACGATGGCAGTGACTGGACGTGGTGCCACGATGGCGACGATCCTCGAACTAGGCATAGGAAAGGACGAAGATCGAAGAAGAGAGAGGGGTTAGGGTTTCTGGGGAGGAAAAAGGAAAAACAGAAAAGAAAAGGAAAAATTATCTCAAATAATCCCACCTTTTAGTGTTTTAAAAAATAATCCTACTTTTCACTCTCACCAGAAATAATCTCACCTTCCCGCATCTGTGCGAGTTTTGAGTCGCCGTTAAAAAACTAACGGTCACATAACGGAAATTTTGAAAAATGCTCGTTTTCGCAAATAAATGAAAGGTGGGATTATTTTAGGTAAATTCTCTCTTTTTCGTTTTTTAATTTCTTTAAATGTAATTTTATTTTATTTTTTTGGAAAAAATACCAAATTTAAGTGTTTTTAGAGTGAAACTAATTGTTTTTTTCAATAACCAATAATGTGGTAATAATTAGAAAATGAATTATTCTACACAATAGAGCTAATTTATTAACTTCATAACTAACTACTCCGTTTGGAAAAAGTGTTTCTCTTTTGACTTTGTGTAAAAAATAAGGAAGTATTAAATTGTAGTTGACTTCCAATTTTGCCCTTGATGTGATAGGTAAAAGTAAGATATGATGGATAGATTATTAGAGATAAAATATGATGTGATAGGTAGGGTATGAAAAAGTAAGGGTAAAAGTGGTTTTTTAATAGAAACTGGAAGTGTTTTGTTGGAAGGGAAAAAAATGAAAGAGGAAGTGTTTTTGATAACGGATGGAGTACATTTTTTGTAAGTTGCATTTACTGTATTTTTCTTGAGCTGCACTTCAAATTACTTTTTGATACTACATTATTATTATTTCTTAAAAAAATGGCACTACAAAACTTATGAATATTTTTCGATAGTTCTATATAAATATTTTTTGTGAAACAACATTATAACAATTGTGAAAATAACACAACAATTTTTTTCTCAAAAATAGAACTTTTATTTTTATAACTCACTACATTTTCTGATGTATTGCAATTTTTTCCATGAAAACTCTGAAATATTTATTGATAATCTTATATTGCAATAAAATTTTCTTTCTAAAATGAAACTACCCAATTTGTGATTTTTTAATAACTCAATACAAATTTTCCCCCAAAATAGTAATTCAAAAGTTGTGAAAATGACACAATATTTTTTTCTC